GCTAAAAGGGCTAAAAACTCTGGAAGATGAAGTAATTTTTTCTAATTCAAGAAACCAAACAAACAAAAAGGTGGAAGTTTCCATCTCCAGTTAAACATGTCCAGTGTAGGATTTGTAGTTTGGATGAAAATAGCTTTAGAGGCAATAGAGATGTGAGAGAAAGAAGTGAAATCTGTACTCTGTGAGTTAGAAGCTACTGACACGTATCTCACTTCCTTATGAGTCCCTTGGCTATTGGTCCCCCTTTCAATCTTTGGTCCAATGTTACAGGAGTAGAATAATTTATGCAGGAGGTATAATGATAGTCTTTCTTCTCAATAGCTGATAAACACTTGGTGCATTTTCCTTCTCTGAGGAGGAGGACCAGAGATGATTCTCCAATTTGCTTTATTCAGGTTTGGGTCTTCTATTTCCTGAGTCCTAAATGAGTGCTGTACTTTTGAGATACCCCTATGCTGACATGGAATTAGGGCATGTGTCTCTCTTTTCTAAGCTTTGGGATGGGGAAATCTGTCCCATCAGTAAAAAAGGAATATTTTTTTCACCTTGGAAACTTAGGAACAGTGATTTGCAAAATATGGCAGGTGATCTGGTGAAGAAGTGGTATACTTGTATTTTTAAAGTTGCATGCTATTAAATAGATTCTCACTCAAAGAGCCTTATGGGAAAATACGATATTTGTGTTTTCTTGTGTTAGAATAGCACAGTGGGATAAAATATGGCTTTTAAGACCTCATATTGCTGTGGTGTCTGAGATGACAAGAAGTCACTGCAACCAATAAACATTATAGAAAAATATTACTGAAGTAAACAATGACAGTAGAAAAATTGTTTTGTTTTTTTTCTTCTAGATTAAGACATGATACCTTGAAGGTCTTGAAAAGTTTATTAAAATCAAAAGCCATTATTATTAAAAAATGAAAAATTCTTTTAATTAGGAACATGTTTGGAACACTGAAAGATTTTTTCAGTGGGACAGCAATATGCTTCTCTTAGAGACCACTGTATGTACATGCAGAAGCAGTGAATCTCCAGGACAATTCCTCAGGCTGACTAGGTGAAATGAAGCTTGTCCCAAAGGCATCTCACTTCAGAAAATAACATCCCAATGCTTCCCAAGAGCTCATTCCTGTTCTCCTGTGCATTGCCCTTTCCTTCTTCTCTCTCTAACCCTGTCCTTTATTCCTCAGATTTATATCTGTGGAATCTGTCACTTTGATGTCTCTGTTGCTGTAACACCATCCCAAGAGAATGTTTGCCAAACTGGTGGCTGTTAAAGAGGGTGTCACAATGTATTCAGCATGAAAAAATGCTCAGTTCAACCTCTTCTCTCTGCCATGTATTGTGGGTCCAAAACAAGACTAGGTGATTTATTTGCAGTTTGACCTTCTCCTGCTGCTATAATATCATTAGCTAATAAATGCTTTCTGGAGGGCTTTGCAGGATACCAACAAGGAGCAGGGGGAGGACATGAAAAGAAATAGCTAGCCTCGTTTGCAAGTTGATAACCAAGTAAAGACTTGTTCTACGGCTGAATCTTATTAGCAACCTATAAAAGTAGTACCCAGGCACAAGGAAGAAGACCTCATCAGAAGATCAATACCTCCAACTGAAGTTGCTGAAATATTGCCACAACATCCCATGTAAGGCAGACTGACAATCAGTCTTGTGACTTAAAGGGTGGGCAGGGCATTAGATAAGAGAGTACTTATATCTTGAAAATGCATACTTTTTATTAGGGTTCTTTTCATAATTTCTTGAACTTTTGGATCACTGTAGTAAGTATGCATTTGCCTTGTCAAGTTTCCTATTTGGAGTATAACGCTCACAACAATACAATCCTATATCTCTCCCTAAATTTCTCAATTGCTTCTTGTTTTCATCTCTAAACACAGTTTCCCTCATCCAGGGATGAAGAGGGAGGAGGAGAGACTTTCACAGATTACCCCCTTCTGACGGTGTGTTCAATTTTCTCTAATTTTAAAAATGTTCCTACCATCCAAAAGGGGCTTATGCTCAGTGAGGCATATTTTCAAAGGAGAACACCAAAGCTTTCAATGGCAATAAATTGTCTGATCAAAAATAATTATGAGGAAAGAGAGATCTTCCATGTAAACTACAAATCTTTCTGGAATTAAAAAAAAACAACCAAATGTTCTCTGCCTTCATCCAAAAATACCTCAGCTATTGCAATTGAGAACCAAATGACTTTACTAAAAAAATCCTACTAAAATAGTGATTTTCTTAGAAGGCTTGCAACAGAATAAATGTTCAGCTGGAAAAAAGAAATACACAGAGAACAAGCTTTGGAAAATATTCAACAATCCTACCAAGGATTTAATTCCTGAAAAAGAACTTAAACAGTCTGTCTTCAATTTGCTCAGCCTGTTGGCTGCTTCTGACCCCATTGATCCTGCTTTTTGTCTTGCCATTTTGTTCTCTTATTTGCTTTAATGAATTTCTTGGGGTTGGTGGAAGACTTTACTCGGCTTATTCCAACTTTTGGAGGGTTTTCATGAGCAGTGGCTGGGACTCTGTTTCCTTCTCTCCCTCCCCATCTACTCTGTGGAAGTCGTCATTCGCCTTTACTGCACCACAGAGTCACAATTTGCCTTTTGAGTCAGTGCTTGTCTGCAATGAAGCCTCAGGAGGCTATTTCTCCCACCCTGCCTCGTGTATGTTTATGTACTACTGCTGCCACTTCTGTGTTCACTCTGTGGAGCCCTCAGCTGAGCGCCTCTTACTAGAAGTAAATTCACATTAGTGCTGGGAGAATTGACTTGTGCCCTCTTTAGCCAAATCTTTGCTCCCGATTACTAAACCCTTTGTCAGGGAGGCTTTGATGCTAGGAATTAACTTGAAAGGGTTTTGATAACCAAGGGTCATATTGATGGAGCAGAGCTCTCCATTGAAGTTCCCCCCCCCCTCCATCTCCTGAATTTTGAACAGATTCTGTAGTTGTCATGGAAACAGCCTAATTTGCTCTCTTTTTGTGATTTAAGTAAGCATCATGTAAAAACTCTTCAATAAATGATGCTAAACCATCCTGAGTTTGGGTAGTGACATTGGGCATCTTGCCATGTGGCTTAATTTAATTGCTCTGAAGCTATCACCAAGTGCATAATTCAAGGTTTCCTTTTAACACAAAAGCTCTGGGAAGTTTGGATGGCTGCAAGGGAAAGAGGAGGGGGAAAGAGCAGCTGCCATTCTTCGAAAGTGAAGCATCTTCAGGAGCAGGAGAGCATTTTTGTCCCTTTTTTTTTTTGGCAGAGAAATCAGTCATAGACAAAGGCAAAAACTTGGTCAAGACTCTTTTCTCTCCTTAGATCACCTTAAACTTGGTGGGAAAGGCAAAAACATCCACAATTCCTGTGTCCTATTCTCCTGGGGAAGGCAGCATGACTTTCCATCCTGCACCGGGGCTGTGACAGAGGTAGACAGCCCAGCAATTTAGAAGGTGGACATAGCTGTGTGTCATCCCAGCTTCCTGCCAGTCCTTTGATATGAAAACAGTGCCTAAAGAAAGACATTGCCTTTAGGAAGACTGCTGGTCTCTCACTGGTGGTCTGCCTTTGTAGGTATGCTGGTACTTGAGCTTGACTTCAACCTCATGTCCCTGCTGCCCCTAGAGGCTAATGGCTACCCAGCCAGCCAGTCCTGGGAGACGAGCCAAACTGAGTGCTGGTGTAGGGTAGGAGCTGCTTGAAGGAGTTTGGGCTCTAGTGCGAATTTGAACCTCACATTATTATCATAGTTGGTGTATAGACTCTGTTGAGTAAATATTAGCGCAGAGGAAGCAGAGTGCAAAGGGTGGTCTTGGACTCTAAAGGATGCAGGCTTCTATAAGGGAAGAAGAATGGCTTCTTCATCATTTCTATTTTTCACTTTCACTTTCACTTATGGTGGAATTATATGGCTGTCTGTAAATACTGCGCACATGAACGTGTATTAACAATAGCTTTCACTATTGTTGTGAATGGTCATTTAAAAGCCCTGCTGGCTGCTTGCTCTGATTTGGGGGTGGGAGGGCTTGTCCCACTGAGGTTCTCCACTTCTACCACTGTTTCCTGTAACAAAAAAGCTCTTCAGGCAAATGAGGTGGTCTGAGGCTTGACTTAGATAGTGGTGACCCTGTTAAGGGAAGCTGCAGTGCTCTGTAGCTCTTCAAACAAAGCATGACCTGAAGAAAAAGAGCAGTGTTCATTTTGAGAAAAACTACTTTGTGGGAAATACAGGAGTAGTTAGTTGTCACTACAAATTTCTGGTCAGAAAAAAAAAAGGAAAACGGAACAGTTTAGTCATTTGCTCTGGCCAAAAACTTCCACTTTGGTGTGTGTTTTTGACGTAGGGATTCAAACTCCCACTGCAGGCATGTGAAATCATAGTCCCCGAGTGGTGTGTATACGAGCCCTTTTCTTTCAGGAACCATGTACTTGCATCCCTTGGGTGTCTGAACTGATAGGATGACAGTGCAGTTGCTAAACAGAAGATATCATTATACAAGGCAGACTCTCCCACTTCCTTGTGATCTGCTCGTCTTGTCGCTCCCTTCTGCAGAACGGTTTTATTCTTTTTTCGCATCTTGCATTCAGGAAAGAGGCAAAGTGTTTGATGTGCTGCAGTATCACTTTGCCTGGACAGAAATCTCTGCATCCACTGAGATGGTAATGACGATTCACCAGGGAAATACTGTGTTGCGGGCTGGGGATGGATGTACAACAATAAGAAGGGAGTGCCATGGCTTTAGGGGAAGAAGGGGGATGAAATGGGAAATACAAGTGGGTAATCTAAGGTCTCCTTTTCAGGAGAGTGACAGATTCTGGTTTCTTTACCCGCCTCTCTTTGATAAAAGCCTGCCAGTGGGGGTGAAGTCTGTGACACCAGAGCCTGCACACCCTTGTTGTTTTACTAAATTATTCATCCTGTTCCTGTGATAATATAGTTATAAGGAGGAGCCTAATTGAATTTAATGTCTGGCTTTGGCCAATAGGGCGATAAGGATCCGGCAGAATGGGATGACGGTGAATCCTGCTAGTGTGCTGTGAATGTGAAGCAGGAGGGACTGGCAGTTTGTGTGCAGGAGGGAAAGCGAATAGGTCCAGGGCCCCCGGATTAGCAGACTGAGGAAAGGTAAGGAAGCAAGCGGGAACGGGATTCGCCAGAATCATATACCGGCTCTGTGCTGCAAGGGAGGGTGTTTTTGTTTATAAGAAAGCACTCCGCAGGCAATGCTTTCCTGCAGGGTTTGGAAGGAACAGGAATGTGTGTGGTGGCACTTGCTCAGTGCATGTAGCGTGTGCCTTTGTCTTTATATGTGCTGCAGGGGTTTATAATATTGCATCTTGATTGTGCACGTCCGTATGGAGATGCCTGTGTTTTCTGTGGATAGAGCAGCAATGTATTAAGCCTTTGCATTATAAATGTAACGAGAGGAGTCAAAAGGGAAAAATTACCTCATGGATAGTGTGGGGAAAACATTAGTGCTTTCTGGTTTGATTGAAAATGGAAATGCCGAGGCTCTTAGTGAGCTGTTTGCAAACAAAAAAGAGCAATCGTGTGTGCATCTGCCTGTGTGTGTATCGGATCTGCAGCGAAATGTGAAAATGAGAAAGAGGAGGTCAGACTGGAGCATTAGTCATGGCAGGTGGAGATAAATTGCAAACAATCTGTGTAATCAGATTCTCTAACATGGAGAGTGGAGTGCGAGTGAGTAGGAAAGTGGATTAATCCTATCTGCTGAGCCAGCTATACCTGGAAAGCAAGGAGGTGGGGGGTAGTCTGGACAGGTTATCTGAATGGTTAGAAGCTGATGATCAAACTGTCCCGTTTTCCTGCTGCTAAAGTGATAATCTATTGAGTTGCTTCCACAGATTTTCCATCTCCTTTTTAATGATGCGAAGAAAGGGTGAGCATCTCTGAGGATCAGGTTAGAGCCCGCAAATTAATATTATCTAGAAGAGCAGGAGCATATCAAGCAAATTAGCCTCTGCTTTTCCCTTTGTTTCACTGCCTTTTCTCTGATAACAAGTGACTGCTAAACAGACAGGGAAGGTGGGGGAAGCTGGATTACAAATGTGACAAGTGGCATTAAGCCATGCAGGCGGGGAATGTTGTTTGCAGTGATGATGCTATAATCGCACTTCTGCACCTTACATCTTTGCAAGCCTTTAAGACAAGGCTGTCCTGAGCTGGGTAACCATAGCCCAGTCACTAAACAGATGGGTGATCACAGCTTGCTGTAAGGCATTAACAGGTTTAGCTGCCTCTTCTATGTTTTCACCACCTCATGCTTTTTAAGCCAGGATCCAGAGGAAGGTGGTGTTGAGACAAAGATGCTGCTCACCTGTGGATCTCTCATCTCAGTTGGAAACTAACTCTTATGATGAGTGCTGAGGGAGGTATGCTTTTTCTGCTTCCTCAGAAAGCAATACCTAGAGAATCCCTCTGAGAAGTGCAGTAAGGCAGAAAGCCCTAGAGGGACAAGTAACAAAATGGCTTGTCTTGCATTAACCAAACCTGTTTGCCCAGACAAGTTCTCCTTCCTCCTTAAATTTCCCCTACTCAAACTCCTTTCTTTTCTGTGGCTTTCTCATGCAGCCCAAAAATGGGAAAATACAAACATGACTTATATTCCCATCAGGGAGCACCTTCCTGCTCATGTCTACCCTTTGCCCAGGAGCATCTCTGTGCATCATGTCTCTGAGATGTGCTGCTGGGAGTGGCTGGCTGAGTCTTACCCTCTCTGTCTCACAACTTGTGCATGTGCCCCAAGTGAGACCACAGGGACACTCACCTGGCATAGGTACAAAAAGACTCCACCTTACAGAGGATATTTGCATTTGATGATAGAAAACCCAAACGTAATGTGCAGCAGCTTCTGGTAGGATGGAGCCATGCTCTCCTCATCTCACCTGAAATAGATGACTGAAAAACATATCTAAGACAGGATATATACTGTAGTCTAGGGGTTTTTCTTGTCTCCGGATTTCTCATGCCTCTTTCTTGTCCTTCAACTCCTCTGAGTTAGCAAAAGTCTTGGTCATAGTTGAGTTTGACTCCAACTTTCAAAGCACTCACAGCAACAGAGCACGCTAAGAAAGGAAGCAAAACAAGCTTTGCCTGCTGAAAATAAACTCTCTGGTATAATTTACTTCTCTCTCCTTGCCTCTGCCCCAGCAGCAGAGGAATAATTAAATAACTTGATTATTCAGATACTCCAAAAAACAGCACAGCTTCAAGGTGCAGAGCAGGAAGCTTTCCTAAATAAGAAGAGGACAGATACTGGAGAGTATCTGAGCATACACCTGGAGAGTCCATCTCTTTGCACATCAAAGGAAGTCTGTTTCAGGATACCCATCTTCCCTGGGAGAGGCACAGGCAGGAGAAGCATCCCTCTGACGCTGCAGCAGCGGTAGCCTGGCATTCACTTGCAGCATTTATCACCGGTTGGGTGACTACATTGTTTGCTGCTGCCCTCCAAGTCAACAGCGAGGCTCAGGAATGGGCAAAACGCCAGCATATTCCCAGGGAAGCTTACGTCATTGCCAATTCACTGGTGCCAAAGACTGTGCTGGAAACCTGAGGTCGCTTTCGCCATTAATTGCCCAGATGATTAATTCATGCAATGATATCATTTTCCTGGGTGGAGGTTAGGAGGTTATGCACTCTAGTAATGAGGGGTGTGATGGGATGCAAAACTTGTGCTCCTTATTGATGTTAATGCTAATTGCAACAAACTAACCACAGCGTCCTTCACATCATGCTTCCTCCCCCAGAAAGGTACCATTTTTCTCTGGCTCAACACTCTTCACTTTATTATTATTTTTTTTTTTACCTTTTTTCTTTTTTTCTTTTTTTTTTTTTTTGGTGCAGGGTGGGAGGGGAGGAATGTGATGTGTGGGCAATTGCTCTTATGAGGTTTGTAGTACTGTTAATTCTACCCTAGAGGACTGAAGTGCCCTTAACTTTCATAGCTCCTCCATAATAAAGACTGTTTCTTTAATTTTAACATTAAATTCAGGCTCTTTCCACCTTGAAAATATTCCAAAAATTCCTTGTATTTATGTACTACTTTCCAGCAAGAAAAAAAGATATAATTATCCTCCTTTAAAAAAAGGGGAAAGAAAAGAGTTTGGTTCTTATTGCTCTGTGACCGATGTACTGTATTTTGTCATTCTACCCTCAGAGGATGCTCTTCTGTCTATAGGGGTGCAGGATCACTTTTTAGTCAGTCTGGAAATTCTTCGGAAGGTTAGGTTTTGCAGTAAACACTCAGGATGTTTTATTCTTTTTTGAAGTTTTTAGGCTATAAATTCCTTTCACGCCTCTTTAATAGCTTACCAAATAAGCACAGAATTCACAGATGGGAATAACAAAGAGCTGCTCTGGCCCAGATACAATTAATAAAGGTAAAGGTGCAGCTTTTGACTTGATCTGATAATCTATTGGTAGTTGAAGCTGCTAACTCAAAATGTCAAACAAAACACCCAGAGCATTTTCAGAGCTGTTGTAAGAGTGTTTTCTTTCAAACCACGTCACTGCACTGCCTCCTGTATCCCTCCCCCTCACTCCAATGTTTTTCTTCTCCCCTCAGGCCTCTGTGTTTTCAGCTGGCTTGCAACCCCAAGAGGTGTACAAAGCCCTGGATCATAACTTTTCAAACAAATTTGGTAAGCCCAAATGGAAACCTCCCAATTTCTACATATGCCTATTATTTGTGGGATAAAATGGTTTCCTTTCTGTTTAAGCAGTGGTGAAGCCATGCTATTTCTCCATTCTGGATAATTTTTCACTTCTTTCCATCCTTCGTTTGTTTTGGTGTTGTCCTACCTCATCTAGAGATTAGAAAATGTCAAAGTATTTTTCTTGAATGTTGACAAACAGCAGAGGTCTGATTAGCAATTGTAGGAGATCTGTTACTGGTTCAGTACTTAGACTCATATATATTTATAATATGGTTATCAAGGAAAAATAAGTGATTACGCAGAACTAACGATGTCTGTTTTAATGGCTGTCAGGTTCCAGACACTCATCTATTGTCTGTTTAATGAGAAATAATCCTACTGTGTCTGAGCAGATCAAATGCTAAAGCAAGGGTGCAGTATGGCTTTGCTGCCATTAGCAGACTATACTGGCCACAGGAAAGGTGGCCCAAGGCACATGCTTATAATTTAGACCCTGCTCATAAAGGGGAAAAAAATAATGAGATAGCCTTGGAAGAATAGGAGAAAGAGTCTGTGATGTGGCCTTCGGGGTGGAAATGCTCCTTTGTCCTGGTGTCAGCACTCTGTTGCAAAGGGCTGAATTCTGCACTGCCACCAGAGTGATGTGAGGGGAAAGAAAAGTTTGTCTGCTTCCTAGGGTGGTCTGTCGTCAGCTGTCGCAGGTGGGAAGCAAAGCAGATTAGAAGGGATAGAAAAATACCCTTTTTCCAGGCTTCCTGGAACTGGGAGTATTGCCTTCAAATCGCTTCTGAGAGCTTAACTTTAAAGGCACATTAAATTTTGCTGTGAACTATCAGACTTTTGAAGAAGGAAATTTCATTTTTGCCAAGCGTTGTGGGTTTTGGCAGATTTATTTCATGCTCTCAGCACACCAGAGCCAGCGCTTTTTCCCTGTATATTTCAACTGGGAAGCCTGGAAAAGCATTGGCTCCTTTATTTCTTCTCAGACATAGAAGCAAACACATACATACCACCTTCTTTTAAAAGATGGCAACCAGTGTCTTCAGCCAGGTCTTCATGGTTTGGAGTGGCTTTCTTCAGCTCCTTCAAGTGTAAAAAGCGCGTTACCTCAAGCCCTACATTTTAATTTACAATTAATTTTACATTTAGTTGACAATGGCACAAATACAGAAATAAAGATTTTTTACCTTGCTGGTTCTAGCCCTTTAGAAACACAAGGCCATTTAAGAAAGGATACTAACAAGCCACATCTTGGTCAAAGTGGTAGCTAAAACCATTCACATTAGTTGGAGTAGAATAAGAGGTTAACTGATGCATCATTGCCATCCAAGTGAATAGAGAAAGTCCCAGTCCACTGGGACTCACAATTTCCAATCCTGGTGGAAAAAACCAGCCACAAATGCTTATGCCGTACCTCTTATGTAGCCAATGCAAAATATTTTTAATCTAGAAGGACTGGTAGACTTTCACCAGCACTAAATTAACTTCATAAGCAAACAGAAGCCTATTTACATAGGACTATTAGAAAAGCAAAAGCAGTAGCAGCAGAACATTCAACTCCAAGATGATTCAGACCTTTACAATCCGCTGTTTATAGTAACACTCCTTTTTTAGAGAAAAAGTATTATTTTTAATATAGGATATCTTTGCCCTGTGTAGTTGGCTTCTTTTGTACAATACAACGAACATATCTGTTATGCTGTCTTCTTCCTTCCCGACTTCAACTTGTAACTTGCTGGGTTTGGAGTAAGGATGAACAGCCCTTGTAGTAGTACATTGCAGCCTAGGAACATGTCAAAGACCTTCTTGGTTGCTAGAAACACTTTTGCTTGACTATGCAGAAGACGATGATAAACTCCATAGGAAGATGTTAGAAAATATAGGTCCTTCTCAGAGAAAGGATGATCTCTATGGTCCCTTCCAACTCTAAAAATTCAGTGAAAGAAGTCAAGAAAATCAGGAGTTTTCTCATTCAACTTAACAGCACAACTCAGTTGTTTATAGCCACTGCTGTAGTGCAGTGGACCAAAAAAAATGGGAATCTGGGATAAAGAATGGTGATGTGGTCCCAGAGGTGGTGGACTGGATGTTTCTCTCCCTGAGTCACTCTGGTGCACTGTGGCCATCACAGGCAGCTTCCAGGGACTGTGGGCACAACATGTGGGCAGGGAAACACGCTCAGCACCCAGCTGCTTTCTGAAGTGGGCTTGAAAAAACAAAATAATGTGACAAGTTAGGAAGTATTTATTCTTTTTTTAGCCCCAAAGTTTTTAGTTTTGCTGCTTAAAGATGAGACACGGTGCTTGTATTTCCTTTCTGGTTGCTAAAGCATTAATGCGCTTCGGTGAGAGGGGCTGGGTGAAACGCTGCGCTTCCTCCAGCAGCAAAACGCTGCCGTATTTAGCGTGATGCATCTATCTAAAATAGGCCTGTGTGAATTTAGTTAATCTTGCGGGCAGGGCTTCTTACTTCAGCAGCCTTGTGAAGTTTCTTTTAACAGGAGAGAGAGGAGTAGGCGAGGTAGGGGGGATGCTGTTTTATAATAAAGCTGAAAGAGGCTGTCAGGAATTAACATGAAGGTTACCTTGGTTTACTCTGGGCAACCTTAATAATTCAACAGAGCCTTTCAGTCAGGGCTTCCCCCGCTGTTCCCCACAGGGGCAGTTTCATGTATGAGAGTTTCTTGAGGCCATTCAACACGCCGGCTCCTAAGAAACATGAGGCATAGGAGAGGATGGCGCCTGTCAAGCGCTAGAGCTGACAATCCCTATTAATGTGCAGGGAGGCTTTTCCCAGGAAGATTCTTTGATGTCTCCGACTCTCGGTCACAGGTCACCGGCCTCTGGCTTTGCATGTCATGCCTCTGTCTTGAAAGAAAGTGCCACCTCTTTTGCTGAGGCCCCACGGTCAGGCTGTGTGACTACTGTCCCCTCCCTAGGAGTGACCCACAGAAAGAGCAGGATGGTGCCTTTAGTTACCCGGGGCAGTTGTAGCTCTTCTGAAGTCACTAGCTGGCATCTCCCACAAAAATCATGCCAGTCATGCAAGGTCATCTGCCTTCTACTGTGAACAGAAAGAGAGGGATCAGACCCAAACCCCAAACTTTTTTATTTCAATGAGAATCCCATTGAAGTTGATGAGAATTTTGGTTGAGCTGGAAGGGAAGGAATTGACTCTGCTTTCTGAGACAGTTGCTAGTTAAATAAGTAACATTGTGAGTTGCTAGTTAGATAAGTAACATTGTGAGTTTTTCTGTATGCTCTGTTCTGCTAACTTGCATACAGTAATGGAGTCTGGTAAATGTTCCAGAAAAAGTAATGCAGTAGTCAGAAGAAGATAAAAGACATGAGCTTCTACATTGCTGTGGCATTTCATCTTTTGGCCAGAAATGTCTTGTAGCCAGTTTTGGTTTCCTGGACAAATAATAGCAGTAACATGCTGTTAACCTGTGATATCCAAACCCCATAATGCTCCTTCAACCTCAATCTTAGAAGTAGCCAGCCAGCAACATTTCAGTCCAGCATCTCTCCAGTGGAAGACCACAGCTCATCCGCTGTGAGACAGGATCTGGAAATTCTACCTTTGGAAAAGAAAGCCCATGAATGAATGGGATATTTGATACAACATTTGTGTTGATGGTTAGACTCAATGGTCTGAAAGGTCCCTTCCAACCCAGACAATTTTATGATTCTATGATTTACATGTTACAAGAAATTTTGGAATATTTCTTGTGCTGTTTTGGAGCAAAAACTATTTTGAAATGGCAAAATTTCTTTGAAATGAGCAGTCTGGCTTACAATCTACTTTTGCAAATATAAAAACTTTCAGCCGGACCATTCTTAGCACAGTTCCATATGTCTCCCTGTGCTGTGATTCTTCCCATACAGCCATGGCTGAAAAGACCTTAGTGCTTCTGTTTGGAAGAACCTACACCTTCAGCTCTGCTTCTGTCACCTTGCCTTTCTCTCCATCTAGTTGTTAGATGGTTGTGATCTGCTGAGGACCGTGAGCTGATTCTGTGGTAGTTGTCCTCTAGCTGAAAATAAAGAGGACACCAACAGGGTTTAATTCTTAGTGAGGCTGCAAGTTTCTCTAGAAATGCAAGTTTCTCCAGAGCCTCCCACACCTTGGACTAATAGAAGCAATAGCTGGTTACCTTCACACGATGCTGTAAGACCAGTATATTTTCCCAGAGCAGAGTAGGTGGTGAAGAATGAATAGACTCTCCAGTTGTCTAACCTCCTAAGTGCATATTTTTTATTCTTAGTGGTAGAGCATCAAGGGCTATCGGCAAGTAAGAAAAACTCTAATTTTTAACAAAAGCATAGCACATTCCTGTTTCATGGTATGGTGAGGGCTAGCAGGTGGAGCGGGTGGAATAATCATCAGCAATATATATTTGTGAGCCTTTAAAGAGCACTTCTGAAATCCAAAATACAGCCAGGGTGTCCATTTTAACAAACAGCAGGTTCTGTGCTTCCTCTTGGCAAAACTCACGTTTCTTTGTTAACACAGAGCAGTCGTTCTACTTACTGGGTGGGAATAGTCAGTTAGCAACTAGGTTTTCTAGCACAGTTTCTCTAGCCAGAAGGTTTCTGCTGCTGCTTCATTAGTATTAAGGAGCATCAGGCAGGTGCTGTGATTGCACAGAGGCATCAGCAAAGACCAACAGTTTGATCAAAGTCTGCAGCATTGCTGCTGCTTTTTAGCAAAGAAAACTCGGTGAGCTGTGGCTGGCAGCAACCCCAGGGGATGGGCTCTGCCATGAGGCTCAGTGACAAACAGGCAGAGGGAGGGCAGGGCCAAGGCTGACAAACCAGCTGCCATCTCCTGCATTGCTTGGCAATGTTTCTTGTTCGACCTTGAGGGTAGCGCAAACTGAAAACTCAGCTCAGGTAGGGATTGCTGCCAGGCACTGACTAGCCCTGGAGATGATGCACTGGCAGCAGCTGCTGCTCAAGATCTAGCTGCCCAGAAGACAGCTG